GTAGGGAAACAACAACAGGGGGTTGTGGTGCCCACCTCTTGCACGGTATCCTTAGCATTGAGCGCCTGTTCATGAGGGGCACTGAGACTTCACATGGGCACGGGGTGGCAAAGAGGACTGTTTGTCCAGAGACGCTATGTCCAAGCTGGGCGCTTGAAGCAGTCAGACTAGTTTCTAGCCTTGATTGCTCTGGGCCTGTTATAAGCCTGATGCTCCCATTCATACAGCAGTGACTTCTGTGGAGCCCCGCATAAATATCGGTGACAAACATATGAGTAAAAAAGCTCTTTTTCCTCTATGAAGAAACAGATTCTTGTGCCATTTGCCCATAGAACCAGGTCTAGTTCTCCCCAAGGCATGGAGAAAAATTGTTTGCGTAACTATTTCAAGAACTGGGTTTTGAAATTTTAACATATTGTAACAAAACCAAGGCTAATTCAGATATGAGGATGCTGTGTGTCAGGGTGCAAAGCTTCCAAAATGACAGAGGGACATAGCAAGGTTGAGCTGCAATCACGCAGATACCTTGTTAAGTTAGGAAACATAAAGTTAAGTTGTTCCCATTGATTTTTTTTGTCTAGGAGTCAGACAGCTAATCTGGATCAGTCACTTAGGTTTCCTCTAATTTCAATGGTTTGAGATGATATTTTGCTGTGTTGATTCATCCCACCCTAAGGTAAGTGGTATGACTTGTCCCCTCTGCCTTCCCACTGCCCAGCGCTAAGCAGAGGTGGGGCTTCAGCTGCTGGACTGGAAATCCAGCGTCTGGATGGCTGAAGTCAGAGGAGATGTAGTCTGCTCCGTCGATCCGATTTTTGCTACGCTTAGTTGTCTCACTTGCTAAGGCATTTTTGAAAATCTCACTGCCTGCCTATCTCTAGCAGGCACCTAGAAACTAAGCAAAACATGATACTGCAAAGACTTAAACAGAGGCTTAGCTTTAAGCACAAGAGTAATCCCTTTGAACTCAGGCATGGAAGGTTACCATATGCTTACATTTTTTGCAGAACCGGGAACTTAGCATGTTTTCTCTTTTCCCATACATTCCCTGTCTGACTGTTGCCACCTCCTAAATATTTTTTTCACAAATTTTCCTAATGGAAAAGGTAGGCATTTTAAACAATCCTCAGGTGACTTGTATCCACAAACTGAAGTTTGGGATAAAAATTAGAATTGTCGCTGCCTAATCCACAAGCAGCGAGAGCTCCTCAGAACTGGGATAAAGGCACATTCAGCTACACCAAGTTTTAATAAAACTCATTGAACCTGTGCTTTTCTAAGTGAAATGCCAATCACTTATCTGTAGGACTTGGATCCAAAATTATTCCTTTGCTCCATCACTCCTTCCCTCATCCTTAGCTGTTCTAACAAATGCTTTCAGAATTTCATTTTTAACTGAAATTTGGCTTTGAAGGTGGTATATCTTAAAGGAAAAAGCCTGGTTTTTCTTTTCTACGCTAGGAAAAACTATTTCAAATTTTTTTCAGAGGATCAGTTGTCTGTCCTTTGCTCTGATTCCAGTTACTCCTAGAATGGGGTTTTATCATTAACTTTTAAACCTTTAAAAATGGGGGATTATAATTGAAAGCCAAACCAAACATTAAAGATGCAAAACCAGCATTGCTTGATATAATTAATGCCTTTACTCCTGATTCATTTTTGTTGGAAAAAATACCCCAAACTAAGCAGCACAGTATAAAACTAATGATATGGAATACTGATCGAAAAAAATACATTATGGCTTTTGCTGTCAGAGTGACCTAGATACATTTTCTAAGTTTAATTATATTGGTTTCACTCATTCCCTGCATGTAAGTGCTTTGAGGGCACAATTCCACTAAAGTCAAGGGAAGGCTTTGTATTGACTTCTGAGGGCTTGGCTAAGGCTCTTAGTGAATAGCTTCAAGTCATCCAGTCTGCTGCCAAAAATGCAGCTGTCTGCATATCCAGCAGATATTTGTAGAAAAGGGGGAGAAGCAGAGGGAAACTATTTTATGTGATATGCTCATCCCAACAGCAATGTAGCTCTCTGAAAGTGAAAGACACCTTCACTGATAATTCACTTCAAATATTACAGCCAAAAGAGGTATAGTCTGAGCTGGATCCACCAGCAAAGAGACAGTGGAAAAGGTTACGCCAGCTGTCTGCGGATAGATAGTTAGTTAATAATCCTCTGGAGCTGCAGAGAGCCACAGTGAGAAGCAGAGATGCGAGGGTGCTCAGCTACCGTGAAAACGAGTGCAGTCATTTTGGTGCCTCACGGCAGCCTGGGGAATCTGGTTTTAGGGCAGATAATATTTGAAGTCTCTGTTACAAAGCAAATGGAGAGTTTAGATGTGAACTGAATCGAAGCATTTAGCCATTTGGGTTTTAACCACTCATTTCCTGGAAAATCCTGAGTCTTCCTGCTAAACGAAGCACAATATATCCACAGTCACACAGCCAGCTCTTTAATAACAACCACAGGACAAACATGCAGCTGGCAGGAAAAAAAACCATATTAGCCCTGCCTGTGGTAAGATTTCCTCATTCCTCCCATTGTAAAAGCCTGCAAAAGGACTTTGGCAAATTTACGCTCAAGTCTCCCACCAGGAACTGCTGCCTGCCTAAGGCTGCTTTTCTGTGTGTGGAAATTTCAGCTAAGATGGCTCAGCAAGACTCAAGAATGTGGTTAGGGAATGGCATTTTGCTTTATCCACTCTACAGAAACATTTGCCACCTCTCACTGGGAAGCCCTAAAGCTTTACAGCTTCTTCCAGGGAAATATCCTTTCCCACAGAAGTCGACTCACATCTGGCTAAGTTACGAGCCTCTGAAAATACCAGTTCATGTGTGCTGATAGAGACTGGTGGCTTATTCAGGACCGACAACTACAGTCTCCAAAGAGATGAGGGCTTTGCGTGGTGCCTGCAAGCTCATGGCGGCACCAGAAAGCACCCCACAGGGCTGATGCCCACCTCAGTCTGTGTTGGGCAGCAAGATGGGTGAGGATGCCCAAATTCTGTGCGGGTGGAGAATGGGTCCTGCGAGCTGAGGAGGGAGCATGAACAGTGACACCAGGGCAGGAGCTCAAAAGGATAAAGGTTGGGCAGGAGGGGTTACACAGAGGAGAAGCGGGAGTTGAGACATATTTTAGAAAAAGAAGGCAGAGAAAACAGAGGAAGAAGAGCAACTGATAGCAGTACAGGAATTTTTAACCCCCAAGCTACCAGCTCTTAGACTCCCACTTCCTCTGCTGGCAGCCAGAGGAAACCCCTGGCACGAAGGCTGCCATCTGCTCCCCGTTCCCACGGACAACAGCTCCTACTGTGAGCCACCTCGAGGGGTAAGGCTCTAGCATGCAGCTCTCCCTTCATGAACCTAACCAGTTTGTTGTCTTAGAACAACCTAGGGAATTTTTTTACAGAAATTCATACAATAAAATCCTCTAAACAAATTTTGCTAGTGGAACATTAACATCCAAGTGTTTGATTTTTAGTGCTGAGACAGACCAGCACTGAGGCTGATTCTCAAATCTTAATTTGACCCAGTTGTTTATGTTGGTTACAGCAGTAGCTTTAATTACATGCCCAGTACAATGATTTCCACAGAAGCTCTGTGTGGAAAGCTTTCAATGGGGGGAGCAGGATGGATCCCCCTTCTGCTACGTGGTACAGAGAGAACGAGACAGGGAGCTGTGAGAAGAGAAATGATGGCTGAGGAAACTGCGCTTTTAATTATTCCTGGCAATTAGGCTCTATACCTGCCACTACAGAGCTGTTCATATGTAGTAAAAGCCAGTCATGTAAACCGAAACCTTTAGACATGGCCTCCGGGCATGTTTTCCCTTCCCCTCGATGTACCCAGCCTTAGACAGCCTGCGGACACGCTCAGCCTTCGGCAGCTGTCAGCAAAGTCAGTGAGAGCAGCGCTCTGGATGTAAATACTAATGGTACTAAACTTTCTGGAAAGACCTTAACATCTCACCACAGGCCTCCAAGAAGCGGAGGTCTCATCTGCCTATATCCCCTGATTATAAAGCTGGATGAAGAGTGTGTTAATGGAATGCTTGGGCAAAAATGTGAATGGACCCGTGTGAGAGCAGAAATCATGTGGTCCTGCATGGTGCAGAAGAAAGCCATGGAACAACAGACTGGGTACAGAGAAGAGGTGCCAAAATCCTGGGTAACTGCTCCCTGGCAGGCCTGTGAACTGAGACACAGAACCTGGGGAAAAATTTCTATATTTAAGCCTAGGTGCAGAGATGCTTCTCCATGAAAAGGAACTCTTGGGGAATGGCTGCATCAGCTCCCCTGATACGTTCACCTGCACCATTTTACTTTATATAGCTCTTTTGTATGTGGAGCTGGCATGTCACCATCTGTAACTGGGGAGGATATTTACAGCACCTATTAATGCATCAACCAGTGGTGTTTCAGCACTGAACTTCACTATCAGGCGGCAAGGCTGGCGTGGTGTGAGAAGGTGACTCCCTTCTTCCTGGTGAAGCCCCTGATCTCCGTGAGAGCCGCGGTTAGGAAACTGTACGGCAGACAGGACGCGCAGTACCTGAATGTAAATGTGCAACCTAACAAGATCAATTGCTTTGGCTGCTTCTAACCACATCTGAATATTCCAAATAACAAGGAGTTTAACAATCTCTTGTATGTCATGTGGTCCGCCACATGCTTAGTTACTGGGAGAAATGCTCCCTAATTAGAATTAGGAGTACAGAGCTTGCTACAGAGAGACTTTAAGAGAAATCTGACAGAAAAAAGATTTGGCTCCCCAGAATAAGCAATTAGTTGTCCTCTACTAGTATAGCAGGGAAAATTTTATTTGCAGACCTTCTGCTTTGAGATTTGAACTGAGAGAATGATTAAAAAAATAAATCCAGTCCTGATCTGTTTGCATTTTAAAAGCTATGTGAAAGATGTACAAATCCACCAAAACACCAGTAAGCAATCCTCTGCTCCACAAAGCAGGCAACCACAGACACACAAATCCTAACACCCACCCAATCCCTAAACACACACTCTTCCTTGCCAATGAAAGTGGGGTGCAGGAGAGAGGTAGAGTCAGACATTTCAGTTTGTACGCCCCTTAATAAATAAAGTAGAAGTAAGAAGAGTAGGATGGGAACAGACTGGCAAAGGACTAGGGATATACCCAAGTAGCTGGTGTTTCCCTTCTGCCCCGACCAGCTGCTCTCCAACGTGCTTACCGGGATCCCTAGGGCTTTTAGAATATTCATTTTGCACATCGGGCAGGTACGATGGTCTAGCAGCCAGGGGTCTACACAGGACTTGTGGAAAAGATGCCTGCAATGAAAACCAGGATATTTTAATTCAAATCCACGACAGCACAATTTATCACTTAATACCAGATGCTTCTAAATTCAGTAAAGTGAGAGTATTTCAAATTGTGCGCCTTGGGACTTCTTCAAGGACTGCAAAACTGTATCCTATGCACACAAGACTAAAATTGTTTCTGCAGCAGCTCAAGCACACGTGCACAGTGTTGCTCAACTGAGTTTGGAGAAGACAACATGTACATAATTAGAGAATTAGTAAAAAAACACAAAATGCACCAGCAAAACCCATATTTAAATGTTAAAGGCTGTCAGTAAACAAAACCTGCTTGCTGGTAGAGGTAAAAATTACATTAGTATTTCTTGATGGTTCTACAGACAAACCTGATTACACATAATTTAAATGTGAAGCCATTGGGGGTCTGGTATTTTTTAGGATGGAGGCATAAGGAAATAAAGTGAATTAAAATAATAAAAAAAAATGCTGCTTTTAATTTAAACTGAAAAAACAGGATGATGATTTTTAAAACATTCTCCCTGAATCTCCCGCTCTTTAGAAGTTGCCCGTCAGAGTAAGCTCCTAAAAAATTCCAGCCCTGAAGGGGTTGCTGCTAATCCTGTGCTCGGTCTGAAGCAACCACTAAGCAACTACCTGAGCCCTGTGGCTGCTGGGGACCACTTTTCTTAGACATTATCCAGGTGGAGGAACTGAAAGCTTCTTGTCTAGCTTCACCTGACACAAACTGAGGTTGAATATAGAGATATTCAGTGTGTGTACCTGACTGACAGATTGTATTTTCTCTTGCGAGCGTATCCTGTTACCCTGTGGTTACAGAGAACAAAGATTATAAACCGCAGGAATGTGGGGATTGGGATTTAAGAAATGCTGTTGAGTAGGCCAAGTAGATGAGTCGGGGCTCAGTCCAAGGCAGTGAGGTGTGTTCAGCCCCACTTCTTCTGAAGAAAAGGAGGAAAGTCTTCGATCACGCACATAGCCTCAGAAATTACACTGGCATGTGGGAAACTGAAAATTGACTTGCCTTCCTAAAAATATTTTTTAATCAATTAAATGAATATAATAGTTCAGTTGGAAGGGGCCTTAGTCCAACTGCCTAATATAACTCAATAACAACAACTTAAGCAAAATTGAAAGAAGGTATTTTGAGACTGGAGATGGACACTCCCTTTTCACAAGGACTCACGTGGAGAGGACAAGGGGGAATGGATACAAGTTGCTTTTGGGGAGATTCTGATTGGACATGAGAAGGAAATTTTTCACAATGAGAACAGTCAATCATTGGAATAAACCCCCCAGGGATGTGGCTGAGTCCGCTACACTGGACACTTTTAAGATACAGCTGGACAGGGTGCTGGGCCACCTTGTCTAGACTGTGCTCTTGCCTAGAAAGGTTGGACCAGATGATCCTTGAGGTCCCTTCCAACCTGGTATTCCATGATTCTATTTTATTCTGAAAGATGAGGCTCAATATACATACACAGTCTTGCTCCAAAAGGTGCAAACTAAGACTCATTTGCTTGTTTTGAAACACCATATAGATTGGCTCTAGGTTTTCTTTCTAAGACTTGCAACAGGTGCCCCACATTTTACTTGGCAGAGCCCGAAAATCATGTTTCATTCTGCTTCAACTCTTAATTTGAGCAGCCCTCAGCCCGTGTTTCCCTGTGCTGTCACTGCCCCACGTGCATTGCTGGGACAGCACAGCCACGCCAACCCACAAGGCAACCACAGGTGGACACAGCTCACGGCTGCCCAAGGCTCCGTCGGGAGCAGGGCACGTACCGGCCTCCACGAGGAAACGCAATCTCTGAGAAAGCCAGAATCACTTCAATATTTTAAAATTATTTTGGAGCATTAAGTGGTACATATTCAGCTGGATGGGCCGGCTGCTGCCTTCTGTCATGGCCTCTCTCGCACAATAAGGTACATGCGGTCTTTCAGCTTTATGGCAGATACTGAGGTGCGCCTTCACCAATATCGATTCGCAGCCCTGGCTCTTACTAACACGGTATCGGCCTACATACTAGCTGGCTGGCTGGCTTACTAGCTGGCTTCAGCCCTAAATAACACTAGACATTCAAAGCCAAAACTGTGTGAAATCTCAGAATCTTCTTCTTTTCACTGCTATGCTTTTTCTCACTTATTCTAGAAGAAATGGGTCCTTTATGAAACAAAGCTACATAGCAAATTATCACATTCCTGTACTTGGTCTGATTTCACACAACTATGGGAAAGGGCAAATCTGTTCTTGGAAGTTTGACCTAGTCTAATTATATCAGTTGGCTGCAATACTAAACTTTGTCAGACCTCATCTGATCCTGTATGTCAACATGATTAACACAAATGAAGTATCATGATACTTGAAGTTTAAACCACTACTTCACTAAGGCTACTGAAGTTCACAACCCTCCTTCCAAACAAGACTTGATGGGTAAAAACACAACGCACCAAATTTTGGTCTCTGTCCTGCATAACTCTTCCCTCCTTTTATCTCAGGAGGGGCACATCATCAGGCACGCGTTCTGAATAAGTGAAAGCATAGAGATACAGTCCTCAGGCATGCGTAATTTTACAACTAGAAGCCTAACCAACAGAATTCCTTGGGTGTGTTAATTCATGGAGGGTACTGAAAGTCAGTGTCTTCCTTTGCAGCTATTTGAAATAACTATGAAATTCTTGTTAGTGATCGGTTTTCTTTATATACTCAAACAAGTATGTTTAACTGCAAACATCTGAAGCATATTTGTGCCAAAATAATCAGTACATTTACAAAATCTGAGATATTTATTATTCTCTTGAAAAAAACCAGATTTCCAAAATCCATTTTGGATAAAAAAATACATAACTTCTGTCAAGCCATTTTGCCATAGGCTCCTTTTGTTTTCAGGTTCAAGCTTTGCAAGGCTCAGTCAAGCTGTGGTTCATATTACAGCATTTCATAATGTTTGTTAATCACCAAAAGCTTGCAACTTCCATGCCTTAAAGACTTTAAAAAATGAAGTTTAGTGTTCCTAAAGTTGGCTTCAGAAAACAATATTCTAAAAGAAATCCTACCAATGCAGAGTAATTTAAATACATGACAGATCATTTCACTTTGCACTTCTCAATACTAAATAGCACAGTGCATTATGGCTCTATTAATTTCAGATTTAATATGTACAACAGAAGGAACTTGATTATTTGACAGAAATCTACAGAAAAAATGGGATGCTACTGAAAATCAGATAAAGATTTGCACTTTTAAATTTTGGTACCGCATTCTAGAATTGGAGCGCTGATAATATCTATTTTTGAACACATAAATATTTGTGCAGAGAAGTGAGGTGGCAGGCTTTGCAGATTAGGATTTGAAAGTTTATTTTATTCGTTATTAGCTACAGCATTATATACATGCATAAGCAACAAATCGTGAATTGTTTGACGTCCTGGTAAGTTTATCATCCAAATTCAGGCAAAACGAGGGTCAGCACAAAGTAAGATGAGAGAGCAACTGCCAGATTTCACTGTCATATGGCAAGACAAAGATGTAAAAAGATCAACTGCAACAAAAATCCCTCTCCCTCTGCAGTTTTGACTGATGCAAGTTTTAAAAGGAAAGAGAGGGTAGAGGCATCATGGATGAGTTCAGAAGTAATGACCCATACAGGGAGACACAAGAGAGATGTTTCAAGCACAGGCTCGGGACATGGCTTTGAAAAAAATCAGAGTCAGAGCTAGAAAAAGAAAGGGTTTTTTTCTATTGTGTGCAACCACATGCATTGCAAAACTATGTTCACTTGGATGGGCTGAAAAGTTTCTCAAAAGAACTGTAATTGATTAGTTGCAAGAGAGGAAGGCGAGAGAGGAGATGTTGTAACAATCCTCATACAAAACAAAGGCTTCCATAAGGAGAAAGGAAACAACTGTTATTCACCTCTCCTAGGGATAAAAGACACAATGATGTGTTTAAACCGCAGCAAGTGAGATCCAGGTTGCACAACAGGAAAAGCTTCACCACAGCCAGGGTAGCAAAGCACTGCAATAAATTATCAGGGGAATTTGCAGAGTCTTCATCCCGGGAGACTGCAGAATGTGTTGGAAAAAACCTCCCAAGAATGACACGCGCACGGCCAGTGTCCCTGTGCCGTTCCAGAGGCGGCGGCCTCCCGGGATCCCTCCTGCTCTCTTCTGCGACTGCATGTGGCTGTGTAAAGCTCCCAGAGCACAGAGAAGGAAAGAGAACCTCAAAATCCCAGGGCATTTAATTTACTGCTATCCTAATAGCACTTCATGTTTTTTAACTGGAGATCACTTTTGTTTGAAATGTACTTACGTTTTCTTTAAAGATGGAATTTTAATCATATGAGAAAAAAAAATTCATTTCAGGCTCAGCCCAGAATTATAATGATAATTTCATTGCTGTAAAACTACTGTAAAGCTTTCAGCTTGCCAATAACTTCAAGAAGCTTTGTTTCCAGGTTGAGGGAAACTGTTCTCCTCCCACCTTCTATTCCTAGTCCCAACTTTCCAAACTGCACACAAACAAACATAGCAGTCATGAAATTTTTCTCAGAAGAAAAGCATGAGAAAAGGAGGCAAAAGCAGAAGGAGAGGTACGTCCCTAGGGACCCCGAGGAAGAGCATCAGTCACCTGGATTAGACATGGGGCTGAGGCAGGTGAGAGACTGAGCAGCACTGCAGTATCTAATGAGAAGTTTTGGGCTTTTGGGGGTGTATGTATGACATTAGTTGTTTATTTCTGAGGAAGAAGGAAGGGCAAAAGAAGATGATGAGGGTGAGAGGAAGGAATCAAAGGGAAGAACATGTGTGATGAAGTAATTTTCACAGGAAGCTAATAAAAAGAGAAAGGAGGAGTGAAGCAGTCTCTGAGATCACAGTTGGTCATGCAGTGAAGGTTCAGGGGAAGGGAATGAGCTGGAATGGGGTCAGAAAACGCATTTACTGGTGAAATGAAACAACCAAAAAAAGAGCTTATGAAGAACTTAGTAGCGACAAGGTTGAAAGAACCATCTTGCCTCTCTGTAGAAGTTTAGTAAAGTTAGTAAAAGTGTAGTAAAAGGGACACAAAGGCAGCAGCAGCACCAGTAACTTCCCCAAAGCCAGAGCAGAAAAGATGAAGGCGTTTTGAACCTAGAGATGGAGGACAAGCAGAAGGAACTAGGGCTATGACAAGAGATGTCACTCTGGGAACAATGAACTTGGTCACATGTGATGTTGTGTCAGTGCCCTCAAAGATAACTTCAGTGACGCTTGCTACCATTAAACATAAAACCAGCTGCAAGCCAACACTTTTTTTTTTTTTTCATCAAGTGTCAGTCCTTATTTATTTAATACACTCTGCAGAGTGAAGTTTATTCATACAGTCGGTTGTGGGAGCTGGCTAAAGAGGACAGAGAGGAAGAAGCACAAGTTAACTGGAATTCTCCTCCTTAGCTCTCCGGAGTGGGATACATAACAACAGGCTATCCCAGTGCCTGCTCCCTGCCAAGAGAAAGGAGAGGACATTTGAGGAAGCAGCATAAGTACTGGCAAACTCATATCTATGTAACTTCAGAGCTCATCCACTGCAATACTGGCTGGTGGGTTATTGGTACCAATTTCTTAGGAGATTCAGGCTTCATGAGCCTTAAAAAGAAATCTCAGGGTACACAGGGCTTTATACAGAGCATGCCTGCTGGCCGTGTGTGGCCCCAGTACTGCCTGCAGTACCAAGCAGCATCTTTCACGTGCAGCTCTTGGGGCGGATTTAGCTTTGCAGGTAAAAGGTTCTACATCTTGAGCACCTCCTGGATAGAAACACTAAGGTCAGCCAGCACTGGTGTAATACGGTGCTGGCTTCTCTAAGGCTTGGTGAAATGCCAGCCTCTGATTAAACAGCAGTCTAATGAGGCTCCCATACTAGAAACTGCACACAGTTTAACTGAGAATGCTGGAGGAAGAAACCTAGGTCTTTATCAAGATGTAACACTCTTCCTACTCACTTAACAGAGACAGAAATTAATCCACTTTTTTTTTTTTTTTCCTCTGGATGAGGAGATGAGACTGACAACAGCAGAAAGAATCATGACTACCATTTCCTGTTTTGGAAGTCCAAACCCATGCGAATGCATAAAATCCTGCTCTCACAATTTTGTGTAGCAGGATTGCCAGGGTTTGTGAGGCAGCTGCTTGAGTTTTTATAATTCAAAACTGCTGAGGCTCAAACTGTGAGTATTTTACAAGACAGTTCTGCTGCCGCTAACCTTTTAGCATGAGTCATTTTCTAGGCGACCTTTTAAGCCAGCCAAGAACTGAGCATCACCTGGTAACTATGCGTTTCCCATTCATGCTGCTTGACTCAACACGGTGGATGACGAAGTCTGACTGGAGCCTCATTGAATTACGAGGCAAGGCACAAGTGAAAGCTAGAGCTTAGACATATTTTTTTGCTGTTGTATAGCTACCCCTAAAAACGGCCTGCCTCTATCATGCAAAATTTCCAAGCATTATTATGCTTCTGTGAAAACAGGCTTGATGTCAAACCAAGGTCCGCATTTTCTGGTAATTTCTCATTTTTCTGTATATCTGCTTCATGAAGTGATGCACTTGTGTCTGTTTGTAGAAAAAAAGAGAGAGTTCACAGGCAATTTGTCACTGTGGGGGATTTACAGTAGGTCAAATTTATGATTAATCTGTTGCTTTTTGTTTGCCATTTAGTGATGGCAGTAAACAGATTTAATGAGTCACATGAATGAACAGAAATGGACAGCTTGTAACAAATATCTACTAGGGAACAACATCGCAAGAAAAGAAACAAATATTTCAGTTTCTCAAGCCAGTGAACATGTCTGCAGGAGAGGAAAGAAACTTTAAAAAAAAAAAAATATCTGCTCTGTTTGTACAGCACTTGAGATTCCTATTTCTAGGGAAATCAACCACTTGATCTTGTTCTCCTAGGGGAACCACTGTTCCTAGGAAATTTCCTAAGAAAGTGATTTCCTTAGAGAAATCCTTCATTATCTAACACTTCACAGATGACAACACAATGGCACAGAGAAATGAATACACTTGTTATGGGTGGCAAGAGGCTGCACTCCTGTGCCACATCACTGCGAGTGTATGTCCTGCACAGGGCACATTCACACAAGGGGAAGAGAAGAGAAGGAACAAGCCCAAAAGCTCTTCTTGTCACCTCCATGTCCCACATGCCCGAGAATATTTTCATGACAGCAATAGAAAATGCAATCTTTGTCACATTCCCTTTTTGTTTTACTGTTTCTACTCAGCATATCTCTTTTATGGCTGGTTTTTGTTTTGTTTTGTTTTGTTTTTTGATAGAAGTCATCCCTTTCTCAGCATCTGGATGTGGCCCAGGACAGCGAAAGAAGTGGCTCCACGGGGAGCAGGAACCTGCTCTATCTCTGGCTGCTGTGCCCAGGGCACTCCTTGAAATCAGTGGCAAATTCTTCTAAGGGAGTTATTCTGGACTGATCTAAAACCAGCGAGCAAAACAGAGGAATCAAAACCTTCAGTTTAAAAATCCTACTGAAGACTGTAATAGGTCCAAATCAGATGAAATTTCTGACTATCATGCTAAACTCAGGGTCTCACCACCATTAATACTACTTTCACTTCAAGTCGAACAAAGAGGCATTTCAGATATCTTTACAGAACAGATTTTGAATAAATCAAAATGATAAACTCACCCTTCCATCCCCAAGCTCTCAGGCAATCTCATCAGAGTGATACTGTGAGAACAGAGCCTGTCTTGAAGTAGAGAGACTATCAGAGCTAAAACCACCTTCAACCTTCAACTTACCTGCAAGGCAAAATTCTGACAACATCATTGGGCTTGTAGCCTTCAATACAAACAGCACAGTTATCAAAGTCTGGCTCAGTTTCCTACAGGAGAGAGAACATTCATCATTTTCATTTTTTGATTTTGTCAGCTAACCTCTTCATACAAGAGCCTACGTGACAACGTAAACCCATCACTGATGCATGCTACAAATCCAATAATGCATTTCAAGACAAGCAAGTCAGACTTTTCAACACGTTTCCAGTTGGAAACTTGCCCTGGGAAGCATGCAGATTTAGTTAGCAGGGTTTAACTCCCAGGATTTTCTGCATCTTCACAGAATCACCTTCTCTCTCTACTCCATTCCATAAATTGCTTACCAGTATTCCTCCCCTGCCTGAAGAACACATAGTAGTTAAATAAGCAATTGCCATTTCCGTTCTGCCTCACTGTCCCAGTGGTCTACAGGAATCCTCAGCACAGGGTTTCATTTGGTAATGAGCAATTTGAAAAATTACCTTATCACCTTTCCTGATTGTTCTGACTTGCAGCTTGCTGATTGCTTTCTTTGCAGCATCTCCAAGTCGGCGCTGTAATACAAAATTTGCTCTTAAGCAAAAAGTATCTCTTCATGCAGAAATCATCACCTTTTCTCCCTAGGCTACTTAATAACCTGAAGTGACTGTACATGAAACAGGATAGCACTGTATAAATATAAACAGATGAGGTCAGTCGTGCTGTTATTCACAGTAAGGGCACAGTTGGTATTCTAGCCTGGCTGGTAACCCATGGCCGATGAGGCAAAGCTACTGTAATGGAGTTCCAGTGGAGACTGCATGTGAGCCCATCACGATGCTACACTACAGCACCTTGACTATTCCAGTGAGTAGCAGGTGTGTAACAAGTCCACTATTCGGGTATCCCACTTCTCCCCTCTCTTTTTTTAATGACACTTGTAAAAAATACATTATTAAATGAGGCCTGGACTTGTGAGCAGAGATGGACTTAAGATGCAGAAGGTCTTTATTCTTACGTTGCTCCAGAACTAGTTCATGATCTTCAGCAAGATATAAGTGCTGAAAGCGAGCTGTTAATTTGTTAACCATGAAAAACATGAATAATCTTCTCTCTACCTTATAGGAGCATTGCAAGGTATAAAAACGAGGTGGAAGCATCTGCAGTTTTTTACCGGCAAAGCACTATATAGTCCTGCAGTAACATCCTATCCATACAAAATCATTTGCTTGTTCTTTGCCTTTCTATCTTTCCCTCCAATGGACCATGAATTGCTTACCATGTGATGTTTCTGACTGTTCTCCCATGTTTCCAAAACACTGTTACTGTGCTGGCAGGGTCACAGCCACTCAGGATTGAGGTATATAATAGCAGCCTGATGCAAAACAGCCTGTTCTCAAACGCTGAAGATGGAGATGCCTGCCTCTCATAAGGGGCTGAGAACATTACGGGGCAGCTCATGCAATCGCTGCTCAGCAGAGCTGCCTCTGCACCCTGTGCCATTGAGCTTGTGCCTGTACCAGTGCCCCAGGGACTTGGCTGCTCACTTGGGCTAACCCAACAGCGAGGCGATCTGGAGGCAGACTCACAGGCTGGAAAGGTCTGTGAGAGGTCATGTATTCCCACCCCCTGCTCAAGGCTGGGTCAACTTCAAAAGTCAGAGCTGTGTCCAGTCAAGTTTTGAACATCTCCAGGAAGGGAGATTTCACAACCTCCGTGGATAATTTGTAATTTGTTCCAGTGCTTAACCACTCCCACAGTGTCTCTTTTTTTTTTTTTTTTTTAAAAGAAAAACATACAAATGGAATTTCCCTTGTAATTTGTGACCATTACCCTTGCCCTCTCTCTGTGCACCTCTGAGAGGAGTCTGACTGCCTCGTCTCCAACCACCCGTTATGCAGCTGAAGGCTGCAAGCAGAGCCCTTCCTCCTCCTCCTCCGCTCCCCTCCTGGCTCAGCAAGCCGAGTTCCCTCTGCCTCTCCTCACATGTTGTGTGCTCCTGTCCCCAAGACCATACTGGTGACCCTTCTCTGGACCCTCTCCCGTTTTTTCATGCCCTTCCTCATACAGTTTCATGCAGCAAGACCTACTCCAATGTCTTCTTGTCGGTTTTATAACAGTTCATCATACAGTGCATCCCCATTTGCCACCAGTAAATGACTTAAACTCTTCTCTTCACCTCCCCTCCCCCATCCAGGTTTCCAGCCACGTCTTGTTAGATAGGAGGAAGCCTTGGGAGTTTTGGTGACTCCGAAGACATTCAACTTTTCGGGCTGGGAGCACCGCCTGTGCCGGAGTTCAGAGGGGTCTGTCAGCGGGAAGGGTTTCCAGCTGGAAGGGGGTGAGAGCATGAAGCCAAAAATGGAAGGAAGCTGGATGTAGTTTGTAAATTGAGAGGTAATCACCATACAGATACAATTAATAAATTACCACTTTGTTCTCCATATTTAATTAAAATCACTGAATTAAATTTAGAGAGTAAGCTTACTGGATTGGAAAGACATGGAAGACCGACAAAATGCATGCAATACTGCAAGGAGAGAGCAATTTCAGATCTTGCTAAAGAGGTGAAAATTATCTTGGCTATCACATGGGATTTACATACGAGCTTTCCAGAATAACTCATAATTACATGTGAGGGAGTATCTTGTAGTTATACAATGTCTTTTCTGTGGTATATTTTTCCCACAGTCTCCCTTAAATAAAGGGATCAGATGATGAGTGGGAAACATTTCTTGCCAGCTATTTGTTTCTTTATTGTAAATCAAACACAGACTGATAACATACAGCAAGACAAGAGACATTATGTCCTGCTTCAGGAATTGCTTGTGATTCCTTTTTATCATTATTATTACTTAAACTAATGAAATGTCTCAGTTCTTTTTTGCACGTTCTTCAAGGGGAAAGGACAAGATTAAAGACTCATGTACATCTTTGATCTGCTTGTTTTTATGTTTGCTTTCTCTTATCTATCTTAAATAGACAAGTTCATGACTTACATGCAAATGAGAATAATTTAGGTTTTGAAAGAACAAGAATATCTTGGAGTAAAGTTACACTTTCAAAGGATTCTTCCATTTAAACAAAAAGCATGCTATCGCTAACCAATGATTTCCCCTAAAAGATAAGAGGCATTAGAATAGTTTACGGGTTTAAAGTGAGGCTTAGAGATTTAGAGTCATAAATCTCATAATCTCATTAGCAAGGCTGCAACATTCAGTACTGGACTGGAAGGAGTTAAGCATATCAGACGCAGTGGTCTTGTGGCGATGGCGATACTAGTTCAAAAGAAAGGACGGTAGCATGGAAAGCATCACTTGTCTGTTCCCAAGGAAGTAAATGACCATAGATGCTGTGGAAGAGAAATTATGGTGAGTGCTTCTCTCTTAATGGCCTTACTGAACCCTCACCTTTGCAGGGAGGAGATCGCCTCATGGCTTGCACAGGATGAAGGGCACCATCAGGAGAAGGTATCAGAGACATCTCCTGTACCACAGATAAAGTTTGTGGACTCCATCCTGGGAAACATCTTCCTAAAACTGCTTCAAAAATTGATGTCTCTATTCAATGGCCCCAAACTCTAATTCAAAGCCACAGCCAGCAGTCTTCCTTCTCAAATAATTGCTTGACCCTCCACATACTGCTGCCAGTCACATACTAAAGCAGATCCTTCACTGGAGATTAACCCAGGACGCACAGGACCCTCCTCAGCCCCAAGTGTGATCACCATCTGCTTTGGCTTTCACTGTCCTACAAAACTCACACAGCCCACCTGGTTTCAAAATTACTTTACGGAAAACGTCTTCTTAACAAGAAACCAATGGGAAGAAATGACATGGAAGAAATAGGATCAACAGGTCTGGCACTCAAACATCATCCCCATCGCCATCTTCCCATCTCATGTCTCACAGACAACAAAGAGAACTCTACTATTATTGGTGAAATATGAAATCTGACATGCTGACAGGGGTTTTGGAGTTTTTTTGGGGTGTGTGGGTTTTTTGGGTTTGGGGTTTTCTTTTTGGTTTGTTTTTTTTTTAAGCCTGTGCCCTGGCTGTTACAGGGCTGAGACAGCAAGACACATTTTGCTGAATTACCTCCAGGACTTTGCATGTAATTCCAAACTGCTTTCAGTTAGCTCTGCAACCTGATGTCTCTTGATGCAAGCAATTCCCCACAGTCTTTCACAGAGAAACTCTCTTATCTTCAGGAGGGCTCCAGGAACAAGCCGCAGAAGAAGCCTTACACAAATGCTTTCCTTACACAAATTTATCCTCTTCAGGCCAAAAGGGTGTATCACCAGGACAAGCACCTACTTCTTGGACATCTTCTTAGGTGGGAAAAAAGAGGCAGCCTTGGATTTTCATCCATGTGAATATTACTACCTATCTTCTACTTCCACATGTACTGTACAGTTCTCTGTGCTAGAGAGACTCTTAAAAACTAAATGTATTAAACTCAAAATTGAAATCTAATCATTTTTGTAGCTGACACCCTGGCTGCAGGGGCACAAACCCATAATGGAAGAGTTTTGTGCTCTGCTGCATTAATTCCCAGCCAAGTTGGGATGAATAGGCAAGGGCATTCAGCAATAATCCTCAAAGTCCCAATTCTCCGCTCATCAAAATCAGGCACGTAACTGGGGTGAGCTGTGTCCTTCTTCTGGCACATGAACCTGGATTTTGCACACATGGCGAGGAGGAGTGGTGGCTGAAGATGTACATGCTGTACATCCAGGTTTCATCTCACTGGGGAGTCATGGGAAACGATTCCATGAGATTATTCAGACTTTCTAGCCGCCTCTCTCACTAGCTAGACTCGTTGCTTTCTTGATGGATAATTAAATCAGTTCCTTTTGGGTTCACTGCTGAATCAGCAGCTTATGCTGTGTGCGAGAAGGGAAGTGGGCTTGGAAAGGCGGGTCACCATATAAAAGAGGACAAGGAGGCAAAGGTCATTATGGAGCTTGACAAAAAGAGACACGTGTTTTTCATGAAAGGAAGACATAGTTGCAATGGGTCAGCTTGGAAGAGGCAAAATGGAAGATGACTTAGGAAGACTTGGAGTGGCCAAGACGTTCAGAAATCAGTGCAACACCCCTTCTGTCTGGAGATAATGGCTTTTTCAGGTGTCAAAATGAATTCAAGCTTTTCAGACTTTTTTTTTTAATTTTAATTTTTAATTTTAATTGAAGTCTAATAAATGAGTTGCAGTTTTTTGCACTTTCAGAACAGGGCAGACAGTCTGTGCAGTTAGAATTTATTGCATTGCAGGGTATAGCAGAACTTTCTCTGAATAAGCCAGCTGGCTCCCCCTTCATCTGATGCTCTATTTATCCAAACATTTCAAACTTTAGATAAACTTTAGCCTGCGTACATCAAGTACAAATAGAAGGAAGCATCTTTCCTAAAGCTGGCCAGCAATGACGGTGCTTACAACACATGCAAGGCTTTCCAACAAGTAAGCACAATACCTTCATACAGACAGTTACAATGGCAAAAGCTTTTGAGCGCAATGGCAAAAGAATCTTGCTCCAGCAAAGCAACAGAAACAATCTTTCTTGCATACATCTGAATATCCAAGACATTAACATGGAACTTTGTGATCCCATCCTTGTGCTACAAGAAAATGCATCAAAGAAAAAAAAACCAAACAAGCAGAACTTCAGGGGAAACAGAGAGGAACCTTTCTGGAAAGGGCAAGAGCAAGCTGAGCTCTTCTGAACTACCTACATCATTATATGCCATAGCTAGGACTAAAAGAGGAAAAAAAACCCCAAACCACAGCAACTCATTAATAAAAATGGTCGAGCTTTTCATATGAAAAATGGTAGTGATACACAGGCAAATTGCTAATAAAGAGATTCAAGGAGATGCCCGGTAAAACTGGATGAAGAAAGTACACGAAGAAATTCTAGTTTGCCCCATATCATTACTACAGCTTTGGCAAAAAATTAGTAATAAATAATTGCTTAGGAGGCCATGCTTTCTTATTCTGCTGAAGAACAGAACTAGTATAACAACAAAGTTATTAAAACCTCTGCACAGGACAACTGCTTGTGCACATGTTCGTCTTGTTCAAACTGTGGAAAGAAAATACTGAAGTCTCCTTGAATATATAAACCTATCAGTTCCAAACTATAGCAGAGTACCTGAATGAGCTCCTTATTTTGCTGGGTTTCATATTTATGTATGCCTATTTACACTGCTAATCTGCCTGTATAATTACTTGATTGAAAGCACGCTTACGGTACTCACATACATAAATTAGGCACACATGTGCTTTTGTAGCCAAAGCATCTAAAAATTATCACAGCCGTTACAGTCACAGCAGATCTGCTGCCAGTGATGTTCAAATTCCAGCTGGGATAGTCTCATTCTTGCTATCCAAAATTTCATACTGTATATTTAAAAGGAAAATATATTCTTTCTGTCTGTAAATACAGAGCAGCTGCTCTGTATCTCAGAGGATGCCTGAATTTCAATGGGGGAGGGATCCCTATACGTTAAGTATACTGTACAGTGTACATTAAGTGCGCCGTACAGGCAGTACTTTTCTCTACAAGATGATTATTAATACTCAGTTTTACTTTTTCCGCAGAGCAAGCAAGGCAACTCTCCCCCTGCCCCCAACAGTAACTTATGAAGGGTCCAGAAACATCTCTGAATTACCAGGCTTTTTTTTTTTCCCCTGCAGTATAATGGTTATCTCCTCAGATTTTATACATTGATAACCTTTTCTACTGTACCATTAGAATGAAATGTAGAAGCCTCAGCTTCACAGTTCTGCTGATGCTGAGATAGTTGCATCCAGACAAGAAAAGATTAGATTTATTATTGCAATTGCTATTATTATTCACTGCTGAACTACCATAAAGATGCACAGTGCTTTATAAATCCAGAGGGCCTTGGGACCTAGGGCTCATTCCCACTGCTACTGACTTCTCTCCAGCTCTGCAGGTTTTGTATCTCTTTCAGGGGGTTTGGACAAGATGCCAAAACCAAAAGCAATGGTTTAATAATAATAATGGTGGCTATCACTACAGCACTTACACATTCAGTGATCATTGCCAAATGAAGAGAGACATGCTTGCCTTTCAAGTCCAAGACCCTTCCAAAGTAGTATTAAAATGAAACACTTTCTCTTAAGTCTTCACTTATAGTGAAGCCTTGTTTCACACACAGACTCACTATATTTTACTCATCATTTTGATCTCGAGGGTCATTAGTTATATACGTTTCTACGTCATTTGCCTGTCCAAGGCCATCTTTTTGCTAATGAAAATTATCAACTTTCTGTCTATTTTTTTCTGTGTTTTGCACAGGGGAAAAACCCCATAATAAATATAGCGTATATTTATTAATTTCATTTTATCCTGAATTCCATCTATATTGACAGAAGTCTTGGCTTTTCCCAAATACAGGCATTTTTATATCCCCATTCTTTTTACTTTCTTGGGTTTTTTTATTTTGTTTTGTTTTACCACACATTCACAGTTTCCTCAAATTTTACTTTTAAGCTGAATCCCATGGTGATTTTTTGGAAACACAAACAGCCATTCCGGCACCGCTCACCTGATTTCTGTCTCTGGCATTTGCGTAGCGGAATCGCTGGATGTAGTAGAAGACCAGCCACGCCAGCGAGATGATCATCAGCACAATGAAGGAGATGGAGACGAACACCACAGAGGTCCGGCTGACGTACTTCTGCAGGTTGCGTGTCCCGATAGTTATGTACATCATCACAGTAATGTTCCTCTCCAGGAGGCTCACTATCTCTTTTCCTTTGGGTTCAGGAATCATTATTGCTACAACATCTTCTAGGCCTATCAATCAGACAGGAGAGAGAGGAAAAAAACCTTAAGTAAAACATGTGATTGCCATGTAATAAAATGATAAGAGGATGTGTCAAGGCAAAAAAAAAAAAAAAAAAAAAAAAAAAAAAAACTCCCGCCCGAGCCGAGGACGAAAGATGATTCTGCCGATGCCTGTGGAAAAAAAGAAAGAA